CTCTTCTGTCATTTTCAGCTCAAAATTTTCCTTTCTGAGTTGCCATCTCATCTCTGAGTAGAAAGCAAAGGAAAGATGAGGGAACCCTGCATCTTTCTCCTCACAAATGAAAAAGCAGCTGTGAGAGAGCCACTTTGAGCTGAAAAAGTTTCAGGGTGATAAAAGATAAAAATTGCAACTTGTATTGGTGAGCTTTAGAAATCTTTTGAAGATAACGAGAAGTGCTGTATAAAACAAAGCCTTCTATTTTATAAGGAGAGACTGAAACTCAACCTTATGAGTTCATAGCCACTGGTCAGCCATATATTTTTACAGAAGCCATGTTTTGAAGGACAGTAACACTGGTTGTGCAGTGGCATGTTCTGAAAAGGTGTGTCTGTCACTTCAGATTGAAGGCAGCTCACACAGAAGAAGTGGAGGTGAGAAAGAAAGCAAGTTAAAGGCTGTTGGATCCAAAGATGTTAGTTGAAGGCAACTGAGGGTTTCCTGCAATAGTCTATTAGTGAATGAGGTAAACATAGCAATATTGAACTGTGGGGTAGGTGTAGGGCTCAAGAGGCATTGATACATCACTGTCTCTCAGAAGGGTTCGTGGTCTATTCAGAGTTGATCCCAGATTCCTTTGAGTCTGGGCCAACTTGAATGGGATCTGCCCAACGTGACACAACAGGTCCCTCCCTCCAGCCCTCCGTTGCCAGCAAACAAATCCCATATCTCAGCAAAATGGGTAATTGGAAGTAGGGAGGCATTTGCAATATTCTGCAATATTCTGCGTGGGTTGCCGGTGAAGGGGAAAAACTGTAAGAGTGGCTGAGTTGTGCAAAAGCCATTTGGACTTTTGGCTCTTCCTTTCAAATGTTGAAAGGTGGGCTGCTTGTGCTTTTGCACATCAGTACAGATGAGAAATCCAAGCCTAGAAATGGACTGGGAAAGCAAACAAGTGACAGAAAAAAATGGCTTCCTTCTCTGGGGGAACAGAAGAGGTGGAAATTGCAGGTGTCAGTTCTCCAATTGCAATGTGGCTTCTTGAGGACTGCCAATGTCCTCATGATGGGAAGTACATTCAGATAGCACTGCAGGTACAAGGTGAGGGATAAAATGGACAATAGGACTGTAAAATATATACTTGGCCTTTACAGTAACAATACCAGGAAAAGAGCTTTGCCTTTTGCATTATGCAGGAGGAGAAGTTCCAAGCAGACGTAAAATGCCTCTTTAGATTATTTGGACCCTAAAGCCAACATTGAGTTTAAAATATGTATGCTTGGGAAAGCAACATGGCCAGCTGCAGAGGGAATAGATGAATACTATATGAGGCTGAGACATTTAGCATTTGGAAACACTGATAAAGAGATCAGATCAAAGCTCATGCAACATTGCAGTTCAGCTCATCTGACAAAGCCAGGACTCTCTAATTCTGGTGCTGCGTCAGGAGTAGCAAACATAGTGCAAATGTTGGTGGACAGCAACTCCCATCATCCCTGACCATTGGTCACCCTGGTTGTGGTTGATGGGAGTTGTATCTGGAGGGCACCACATTGGCTTGTGGTATAGTAACAGAACTCCTAGATCTTGCATGTGCCGTGGAAGTAACTGAAATACAAGTGACTGGCACTGTACTGAAGATCAAAAGCTGCAGACTGAAAAAGGGGCATGTATTTCAAATCTGTGCAGAAATACTTCCCACTGTGTTCTGAGCAGCTTATTCTTAAAGTCCATGTGATCGCTGCCTAAATGTGCAATCAGGCATGTCCAACCAGTCAATCGCGATCCATCAGTCGATCCCGTGGCGTTCCTGGTTGATCATGGTTGATTGTGCCGGTGCTTTAGTGAATGCCTTATTTTCCTGCGTCTGCGGTTAAAGTGTGTGAATGAGTGAGAGCTGCAGACTTTAGCTCAGGCTTCCTCAAACTCAGCCCTCCAGATGTTTTGAGGCTACAATTCCCATCATCCCTGCCCACTGGTCCGGCTAGCTAGGGATGATGGGAGTTGTAGGCCAGAAACATCTGGAGGGCCAAGTTTGAGGAAGCCTGCTTTAGGGTGAGCTATTTAATGCAGGGACGCGGGTGCTGCTGTGGGTTAAACTACAGAGCCTAGGACTTGCCGATCAAAAGGTTGGCGGTTCAAATCCCCGTGACAGTGTGAGCTCCCGTTGCTCAGTCCCTGCTCCTGCCCACCTAACAGTTCGAAAGCACGTCAAACTGCAAGTAGATAAATAGGTACTGCTCTGGCGGGAAGGTATACGGCGTTTCCGTGAGCTTCTATGGTTCGCCAGAAGCGGCTTAGTCATGCTGTACGCTGGCTCCCTCGGCCAATAAAGCGAGATGAGTGCTGCAACCCCAGAGTCAGTCACGACTGGA